GGTCCAGACCCTCCTGAAGACACACCCATCACACTTGTGTTAGAAGGTGCGTGCACACCCCTGGCGCACACACTTACAGTTTGCAGGGATTTGGCGACCAGCACCCCTGCCAACAGTGTCATGGGCCTCACCCAAGTAAATGTGGGGAGGATGGAGCAAGGCCTGGGGGAGGGGCAGGAGCAAAACTGTCTCACTCTCACCTCACAGGGCTGGACAGACACGGAGGCAGCCGCTATGTGGGGGGCTGCCCAGCAAGTGAGTGGCCCGCCCCCCTGCAGTCAGGGCCTGGAGGACGTGGAAACCAAGGCCCCTCCCAAGTCCCAGGGACATGAAGCAGAGGATCCCAGGAAGGTGACTGGAGACAAGGGGCAAGGAGCCCAGGGGGTGGCCAGGAGAGCGGGGTTGTCCTCGGTCCCCCCCAGCTTTCCCTTGCCCGCCTGGTGGGCCTGGGAGTCTAAGACTGCCAGAGGCTCTGAGCAGGCCTGAGGGTGTCTGTGACTGTGATTGACACACTAGGCAGCCGTGCCGGTGGCCTCTGTGCTGGGACAGATGCACACATGAGCGCTCGTGTGTGCGACCTGTGCTCGCACATGCTGTCCCCGCGACACACAGGAGCGGAGCGCTCCCTGATGTGTCTCTCTAAGCTCTGCGTGTCACCAGGTGTGGGTGGTGCGCACCTCTGTGTAGCTGGAGGCTGGGCGTACCTGGGTGGGGGGTGCGTGTCATGTGTGTGCTCGCTGCCAGTGCCCTGCGACCAGGGTGTCACCCAGAATACTGTGGCTATTAAAAGAAAGCCAGCTGTCACCCAAGTGCCTATGGAACGGAATGTCGATGGTGATTAGAGAAGGCCATATTCTGGAACATGGAAATGCCACGCGCACAGGCCCTGAGGCTGCCCTCCCCCACCCCTGTCCTTCACTCCCACCCCAGCTTCTGGGCTTTCTTGAGCTTCCCTAGCAAGGCCAAGACCACAGGCACTTTTCTGCCATCCTTCTCCAAGGCTGCCTCCTGCATGTCCCAGAGAGGGGAGCCCTGGGCTGCCCCTACAGTTGGAGCCTCTGCCCCTTCCAACTTCAGTGTCTCAGGGAGCACCGCTCCCCAATGCTCAGCCCCAGGAGGACTCACTCCCCAGCCCTGAGCCCCCTGCATTGTGCACAAGCGTAGGGGGCGGACAGAGGCATGGCTGCGCCCCGGCTTGGGGGGCGATGACAAAAGGCACAGTGCCTGGCCTGGGGGCACACCGGGCTGGGAAAAGAGGGGTGGCTCATCGGCAGGCTCCTAACCGGTGCCAAGCACTGCCACTGAGGATCAGCACACAGGGTGTGGGAGCAGAGGCCAGGCCCCAAGGGTCCCCAGGGAGGCGGAGGTGCAGGGGGGGTTGCCAGGCAGAGTGGGGGAGCGAGGGTCCAGGCTGAGGGAACAGCCGTGCGAATGAGGGGGCCCAGGGGCACTCAGGGTCCTGGGACAGAATGTTGCCCTGTGACCTCAGAAGCAGCCAAAGGGCCCTGGGAGCTGGGGGGAGGGGTAGGAGAGGGCAGGAGGTGGCAGGAGCCTTGGGAAAGCCACTCAAGTGCTGGCCAGAGGGCTCTCCGGGCCCGGTGCTGCGGTGCTGCGGGCGGACCCTGGGAGGACGTGGCCCTGCAGGCCTCTGTGTGGCCCGCAAGGACAGGTTGGAGGAGTGAGCTGCGGCAGAGGCCCGGAGGAAGTGGTGCTGTAGGGCAGCAGGACTGAGGTGTGGAGGAGCGGGTGGAGGAGGGGCCGCAGCACAGGGAGAGAAATGAGGACAGTGGAGAAATGGACAGTGGGGTGGAGGGACCTCAGTCCAGACTTAGGAGCCCGGGGACCTGGGGGTCCCTGCAGGCACCTAGACACTCTGGCTCCATCTCTCCGGCCACGTGGCCGGTCTCAGAGTAGGCCCACCCTGACCCAGGACAGCCTGCCCTCAGGCACTGTCCCTCACTGCAGAGGGCCACCGGAGGCTGCTCCCACGGGCGGAGGGGTGGGGGGGGGGGAGGGAGACAGTCCTGGGCTAACAGATGTGTGCTGCTTGTTTTTCAGACCAAGGGGCTGCTCCCTAGCCCGGACCCCAGGATGTAGGGCCCCCTTGGCTCTCCTTTTCCTCTGGGACACGTCCAGCCCCTTGAGGCCCCTCACACAGACCCAGGATCAGCCCTGAACTGTGGGCTTTGGAGTGGCCCTGTCACCACGGTGTGCTGGATTCACATCCTAAAACACAAAACTCGTGCCACGCAGTGGTCTGCACCCACTTCTCATCTGGGCAGCCTGCTCCCCAGGCTCAGCCTGAGGAGTGGGGCCAGGCCTCCTGCTTCCGGGCAGCTGCTCCCCGCAAGTGCCGTGTGTGACTGTCCTGTCGGAGCAAGGCCGTGGCGATGCTCCATGGGGCTCACCGTGGCTGCCCCTGCCCGGCTGGGCGTTTCGCAGGCCCGGAGGGCCGGCACGCACCTCCCTCCACCGCGGGAGCCTGTTCCTCACCTTGGCTTCTCCCTGCAGCGCTGCCTGCACTGTGCCCACGCTCGTGCGCACGTTCCTTGTCGGGCACATACCCGCATGCACTGAGCACGTGTGCGCACGCACTGCACCTGTGATTTCTTTTACTAGTAAATCAGTGGCCTTCGTCCCAGGCTGTGCAGCTCAGACAGGGTAGAGGAAAATAAAAAGCAGCAGTCTCGACAAACTTGGTCTCTATCTGTTGATGCCAAAATGGGAGAGAAACTGCCGGCCTGAAGAGTGTGGGCCCACAGCAGTTTCTCTTCCTCCCTCCCCTCTTTTCCCCACCTTGTGACTCTCTCCCGAGGCTCCTGTCTCAAACTATGAGGGGACAGAGTGGAGAAGGGACAAAGATCAGGCTTGCCCTCACCCCACTACCCAGCGAGCTGCTGTTACCAGAAGCGGCTCCCACCCAGCCTGTGGGTACCAGCTGCTCAATGGCTGTCTTGGGTCTCCCAGGGGAGGCAGGTGGGGGGAGGGGATGGCCTTTACCTTTAAGAGCATCCTTCCTACTAGCCCTCCCTTTCCCCAGGGCAGCATCAGGCAGGCCCCCAAGTCCAGAGAAGAGCCTGTGTCTCCAGGTACAGCCTAGCCTGTGGCTCCCCCTCCTCCCCTTCCTGCCTTATCCCACACTGTTCATGCTGCTGGGTCCTCTCCATCCTGGAAGGACAGGCCTCCCTAGGAAAGGGGATAGGGTGTGGGGGAAGGGCAGGGGCTGGTATGGGGGGGAGGAGGGAAGGGGCGCTCCGAGCTGCTGGCCTCCTGCCAGGCGCAGCAGGGAGAACAGGCTGGGCTACATGACACAGGGCAGAGGAGGTGGTAACGTGGAGGAAGGAACACAGTCCCTCCTTGGCTTCTTCCAAGTGACAGTTTTGTGATCTTGGGCCAGCTGCCAAATGCTGCTGTGATATGGGGACTCCTTGCACCAGCACGTTGTCTGCGCCAGGCCAAGGCCCGAGGCGGGTGCTGGCAGCGGGGAATCACTTGCCCACACCCAGGCCTGCACTCAATGCTTGGGGCCCAGCCCAGGCCAGAGCCCTGCGGGAAGGCCAGGGCACAGCTAAGCCAGTTGCCTTCCCCGAGCCTCAGTTTCCCCAGCCAGGGGCCAGGGTGAGCTTTGATCTCTCTCCAAACAACCCAGGGCCTGAGGTCTCTTCTGGGTAAGGCTTCTGAAGGTGTCCTGGCCCAAAGGCCACACTGGCAGGAGTCCCGAGGGTCCTAGGCCCTCCCAAAACATGCTGTCTCGGGGTTGTGGACTGAACACACTGAACACGCTGCCCTCCCTGCCCCCCTGGCCCCATGGCCCAGCAGCTGAGCAAATGGCATCTCTCCTCCTCCCTGCCCCCTGCCATTCCAGCGCAAAGGGCACAGGCTTGACGTGCCTGCTGGCAGCTGAAGCTTTCCATACTGCTGTCAGGTTTTCCAGCGCAAGTGAGCCAGGAGGGCCAGGAATAACCCCTGGCCCGAGGGTCTGGGGGGTGTGCGCCTGCCCGGGGCCTGCGTTTAGGCCCTGTGCCCAGGGGTGCAGGCCAGACCTCCCCCCCACCCCCCACCCGCAGTCTGGGCATTGGGAGGCACCTGTGGCCACTGGGAGCTCGTTTCTGGCCCGAGTCCCGTGGGAATTAGCCCAGGCTCCAGGGCGGCCGAGTCCTCTCCCTGCGTGACCTTGGGACAGGCACTCACCTCTCGGAGCCGGGCTCCGGCCGAGGCGCCGCCTCTCGGGTCCGAGGGGATGAGCTTGTGAAGGGCCTGGAGCTGAGCTCAGCCATGCCCACAGCTGCTGCTGTTAGGATGAGCTTTTGTTGTTAATCCTCACCCAAGGGTATTTTTTCCACTGATTTTTAGAGAGAGTAGAAGGGGGCGGGGGAGGGGGGGAGAGAAAGAGAAAAACATCAATTGTCTATCTCCCACATGTGCCCTGACCAACTGGGGCCAGTGGTTGAACCTATAACCCAGACATGTGCCCTTGACCAGGAGTCAAACCCGAGACCCTTTGGTGCGGGCTGACACTCTAAGCACTGAGCCACGCAGGCCAGCATGATGACCGCTTCTGGGCCTGCACCACCTCGGGCCAGTTACGGGTCTCCGGAGCTGAGGCTCCGTGCAGGCTAGCGGGAGGCTCACCTGCCCTGAGGGCCACCAGGGCTCCATGCCACACAAGGTACAGCCTTTCACCAGAGAGCACAGGGCAGCGTAACCAGAGTCCCAACGCCCTGCCCAAGGGGCTCAGCTATCGTCTTCTGGGCCAGGGGTGGTGCAGCTGGGGAGAGAGCGTGCGTCCTGCTCTCCAGGTAGAGGGAGCAAGGAAGGGAGAGAGAGAGGCGAGAGCATTGTCACTGACCTGGCCAGTCCCCGTCCTGCCCCCGGGTGCTGGGTGCTGGACACCCCTCCCCAGGGGCTATATTAGCCGTATGAGTCACGGTGGACTGGTTGGGAGGCCTGGACGGGCGGGCACAGTGTAGGGTTACAGTCCATTTATGGGCGCAGCAGAGGGCAGATATCAGTGTCGATGGCATTTGTTCCCAGCTATTCTTAGGAGCCTCTCAGAAGCGCCACACAGCTCAGCCAACAGCCAGGGGCAGAGCAGGCACGGCTGGGGTCGGGTTTGGGGATCGGGGCAGAGGCCTGGGCTGGGAGGGTGCGCGAGGGCCTCTCACTCCACTCCTCCGTCCACAGAGGCTGCCGCTGTCCACACCAGCATGTCTTACAGCGTGACCCTGGCGGGGCCTGGGCCCTGGGGCTTCCGTCTGCAAGGGGGCAAGGACTTCAACATGCCGCTCACCATCTCCCGGGTGAGTGCGCTGCCGCGGCCTGGTGCCGCAGGGGTTGGCATGTTCAGAGAACGGTGTGTCTGTCCATCTGTCTGTCTTCCTCAAGGCTCTTGAAAATCAGAGCACACCCCACCCGCAGTTGGGGGCTGGGATTGGCGCCAACTGAATGTTGCCGGCCATAGCCCCCTGGTCTCTGCCGCAGCTGTTTGCCTGCCAAACTGGCCGGCCTGCGAAATGTGGAATGTAATGGGCAAGCTGAGGGTGCTTTAAGCCAAGAAGGGCTGGCAGACAAGGGAAGGGGGGTAGCCCTTCCTCGGCAGGGTGGGCTCAGGGTGCCCCCAGGCTGGGAGTGTCTCCCTGGAAGTGGGCTTTGGGGAGAGAGCACCCACAGGGTGGAGCGGGCAGGTAACGGGGGCGGATAGGTAGATGGACGACTGCCCACCTCGCTGTCAGGGCTCAGGG